TTGCATAATTTTTACTAACGAGACCTACCAACAGTTTCATCAACAGTTTCATCAACAATCTTCACCAGTTTGCTAGAATTGTGCTTAGCCAAGCAGTTGCTGGCATAGAGGGAGTAAAGCAAAGGACTGAGGACAAAGCCCTGAGAGGCTCCAATTAAAACAGTATTATAATCTCAAAAGAATGCAAAGCAGGGAAAATCCCTGCATGTCCTAGGGCAAGAGGCAGAGTACTCCCATGAACCCTTCCCCCCGAAAGGGTTCATGGGTCCTCATATGGCTTGTTAACTGAGGGGGGTTACAGTATTTGTTAAATATAAAAACAAAATATATATTGTGTGTTTGATTGGTCCAGACGCTACATCTGTTACAGTTGCTTCATATTCTTTTGGCTTTCGGCAAAATTGTGCGTCACACAAATAAAGAGAAAGAGAGATTGGCAAAAACAGAAATGAGGAAGTAAAATATGAAAATTAGTTTTTAGAGAAATACACAAATGATGTGATGCTGAATGAAAGATAAGAGCAAATATAGAATAATCGCATATCTGAATTTGCAGAAAGAAACATCAGACACCGGGCAGAAATACACGACCTCTGAAGGTAGAACAATTCACAGGTTCATTCTTCAACCACAGCTAAGGCTGTAAGACGTTAAAATGGTCTAATTGATTGTGCATCATGTTATTCTGATAAAATGTTTATTATTGTTGTTATTATTATTAATAATACCACTACGATCAAGTTTGATTTAATGTGTTTTTCAATGTTTTTCTTCCTCAGAAATGGACCAAACTCTATATTTCATTCTTCTTCTCATTGGTGAGTGTGTTTGTGGTTTAATTTATGGTTTATTGTTTCATTAGGTTTGCTCCTGTTATGAAAAGCATTAAAGCAAAGCCTCTCTTTCACAGCTCTCTGCTCCGTATCTGAATGTGTTCAGCGTCAGTATCACTTTATAAATGACGGGAAGACCTGGACTGAAGCTCAGAGATACTGCAGAGAGAATTACACAGATCTGGCCACCGTTGACAACATGAACGACATGAACGAGCTGAACAAGTATGCTGCACGTGTCTGGATTGGGCTGCAGAGGGCGAGTTGTGATAAATGGCAGTGGTCTTCAGGTGAACATGCGCTGTATCGGAACTGGGCTACTGGACAACCAGATTGCAATGATGAATGTGCTTTTATGAGAAGTGGACAATGGCATGAAGGGCAATGTAGTGACAACTGGTCTTTCATCTGCTACAATGGTAAGTGTAAACACTTAAAGGGGTCATGGTATGATAAACCAAATTTGCCTTGATTTGACATATACAAGGTCTTTGTGCTTTTAAAATATCCTGCAAGTTCCAAAACGTTCTCCATGTTATAGACAAGGCATTTATTTAACCAAGCTTTAAACAACTCATTTGGATAGTGTGGGATTTGTGATGTCACAAGGAAAATATTATTTGCATATGACATATTGCATATGACATCAACAAATAGTTATACACCATCACACCATAGGTCCCGCCCACTGGCGTTCAGTAACTTAATGGCTGATTGAATGTGTTCAGCGTCAGTATCACTTTATAAATGACGGGAAGACCTGGACTGAAGCTCAGAGATACTGCAGAGAGAATTACACAGATCTGGCCACCGTTGACAACATGAACGACATGAACGAGCTGAACAAGTATGCTGCACGTGTCTGGATTGGGCTGCAGAGGGCGAGTTGTGATAAATGGCAGTGGTCTTCAGGTGAACATGCGCTGTATCGGAACTGGGCTACTGGACAACCAGATTGCAATGATGAATGTGCTTTTATGAGAAGTGGACAATGGCATGAAGGGCAATGTAGTGACAACTGGTCTTTCATCTGCTACAATGGTAAGTGTAAACACTTAAAGGGGTCATGGTATGATAAACCAAATTTGCCTTGATTTGACATATACAAGGTCTTTGTGCTTTTAAAATATCCTGCAAGTTCCAAAACGTTCTCCATGTTATAGACAAGGCATTTATTTAACCAAGCTTTAAACAACTCATTTGGATAGTGTGGGATTTGTGATGTCACAAGGAAAATATTATTTGCATATGACATATTGCATATGACATCAACAAATAGTTATACACCATCACACCATAGGTCCCGCCCACTGGCGTTCAGTAACGTAATGGCTTTATTCACACTACCCAGCAACATGCAGCGACAAAGCGACAAAATTACATTTGTGTCAATAGAGAGTTGGCGATTTCCGGCGACACAAGCAACAGTGACCGCTGGAGACAGGAAGTAGTTGAGATATGCAAAATCACTTTATGCAAAAGAAGAGCGACTTTTGGGAGAAACAACCAATACGAAAACACTTTTAGAGTTTCATCCCCCTATCTGATGTGTGCATAAGTATTGGAACTGTTGCCTCACAGGTCTTTCTTAGAGATCAGCTCTGTTTTGTTGCATTCATTCTTCAGATATTAAAAGCAGGGAACGTGGCGTATCAGTTATGTCTTGCATTCGACACACACAAACCAGGATGAAAATGAGGGAGCTGACTTTGGAGAAAAGCAAGCAATTTGGATGCCAACAGAAAAGAGGAAGTCAATTAGAGCTATAGCGAAAACAAAGGGCATGAAGAAATCAAGAGTTTGGAGACCACCGGTGACATCAGCAGCCAACAATGACCTGATCGGCTGAGAAAAACAACAGCAGTTGATGACAGACAAATCGTAAAAGCTGTGAAAAAGAACACTAAAATACGTGTATGTAAAATCACCAACAATCTCCAGAAAGCTGGGGTGATGCTCTGACAATCTACTCTCCGCAGGAGACTTTGACACAGAATTACAGAGGCTACAGCAAGATGAAAACCTCTGACCAGCACCAAAAATAGAAAGGCAAGATTAAGAGTTAGCAAAAAAGCACAAAGGTGAGTCAGTAGAGTTTTGGAACAGAGTTTTATGTACAGAGGAGACAAATATTAACCTTTATCTAAGTGATGAGAAAGCAAAAGTGTGGAAAAAAAGGGAACTGCAAATGATCCTAAGCATACAGCCTCATCTGTAGAGATGTACAGATACATCTTGGCTACCAATGTTCAAGAAAATGCCACCAGATTCATTTGGAAGCATTTCATATTGCAACGGGACAATGACCCAAAACACCCTGCCAGTTCAGTCAAGGAGTTTTTTTAGGGCAAAGAAATGTAAAGTCTAAGATTGCCCAAGTCACTCTCCTGACATGAACAGGCTAGATTTATCGACAGCAGGATAAATACATTCAATACACGACAAAGCACAAAGGCAGCACGGTGGCTACTTAGCAAACGATCAGGGTCACATGACAAGAACCAACCAATGAGGAAACAAGACACATGACTAGGACAACCAGAACATGACACATGAACCAAAGAACCATTCAGAACATAACACACAGACAAGGGAATCACATGACAGAACAAGGACCATGACTAAACTCCAAAATAAAAGACATGAAAACATGAACATGAAACAAAACCAAAACCCCACATTACATTTCCTCCCATCTATGGGCGGCTCCAGATGCCCAAACAAAATCCCAAAAGTCCAGGAGGTTGGTGGAGTGGAGGTGGAACTGGGGGAGGGACGGAGGGCCAGGCCCATGTAGAGGATCAGGACATGGATCATGGCATGGCAGAGGACCAGGACTGTGGAGCAATGGTGGACCTGGACCATGGATCAGATCCAAAGCAGCAGGGAGCCATGGCGGAGCAGGTAGAGCAGGACAGCCGGGTGGTGCCGGCAGAGCAAAAAGCCATGGCAGAGCAGAGCAGAGACATGGACAGACCACTTGACAGTGACAGAGCAGGCAGATAATTCTTGAATTGCCTCCTTGACCATGACAGGACAGACAGTGAGTTCATGAGCATCCTCCTTGGCCATGACAGGGCAGACAGTGAGTTCATGGACGGCCTTATTAGTCATGACAGGGCAGACTGTGAGTTCGTGAGCGTCCTCCTTGGCCATGACAGGGCAGACAGTGAGTTCATGAACGGCCTCCTTGGCCGTGGCAGGCCATGGCAGGACAGGCAGAGAATTCATGGACGGCCTTCTTAGTAGTGACAGGGCAGACTGTGAGATCATGAGCAGCCTCCTTGGCCGTGGAAGGACAGGCAAAGGGTTCAGAGGCGGACGCCACCACCTCAGGAGGTCCTGCAGTGGACGCTGCCACCTCTGGAAGTTCTGCAATGGAAACTACCACTTCTGGAGGCACTGGATTGAATTGATTCATGGACAGGAGAGGCCTTTCGAGCAGACTCGTGGATAGGAGAGGTCTCTGAGACAGACTCATAGACAGGAGAGGCCTCTGGGGCTGATTCATGGACAGGAGAGGCCTCAGGAGCAGATTAATGGACAGGAGAGGCCTCTTGATTGCAGTGTGCAGCTCACACGCTCAAAATGGCAACCGCCATTACAGTAAGGGCAGCAGCGGGTGGCAGGACCTCTAGGACGGTTGGGCTTGAGAGTACTGATGTCATAGGGATGCCTGCAGCTCGCACCGACAGCAGAGGTGGGTCCATCACACTAACAATCAGACCTTTCAGTCCAAGCCCAAGCTCCGTGTCTGCAGGAACTTGGGTAGTATAGCCCCCCCAAAAAAAATCCTTTGTGGAAATCTTGGCGACAGCCGTGGCATGGCAAGACTTAGGTGTGGTGGCCATCTTGGCTGGGGACTCATGCGTGGTGGCCATCTTGGCCGGGGACTCAGGCGTGGCCGCCATCTTGGCCGGGGAATCAGGCTTAACGTGAGCAGACTCTGAAATGGCGGCCATGTTGTGACGAGACTCTGGACGACCAGCTGCGACGTGACGAGACTCTAGAAGGGCGTCCATTTTGCGAAGAGAGTCTTCTGTGGCGGCCATCTTGCGATGAAGCTCTTGAATGGCGGCCATGTTGTGAAGAATCTCCTGAGTGACCAGCATGACGTGAGCAGGCTGGCTTGACTGACATGACGTGAACAGGCGCTGGCTTGGAAGGCATGACGTGAGCAAGCCCTGGGGTAGCAGACATTATGTTAGCAGTGAAATGAGTGAAATTATTTCCTTATGAAATTAACTCTTCGTGGGGACTCATGCGTGGTGGCCATCTTGGCCGGGGACTCAGGCGTGGCGGCCATCTTGGCCGGGGAATCATGCGTGGCCGCCATCTTGGCCGGGGAATCAGGCTTAACGTGAGCAGACTCTGAAATGGCGGCCATGTTGTGACGAGACTCTGGACGACCAGCTGCGACGTGACGAGACTCTAGAAGGGCGTCCATTTTGCGAAGAGAGTCTTCTGTGGCGGCCATCTTGCGATGAAGCTCTTGAATGGCGGCCATGTTGTGAAGAATCTCCTGAGTGACCAGCATGACGTGAGCAGGCTGGCTTGACTGACATGACGTGAACAAGCCCTGGGGTAGCAGACATTATGTTAGCAGTGAAATTAGTGAAATTATTTCCTTATGAAATTAACTCTTCATGAAGCCAATACTCAGGAACTCACACAAAACAGACACCATGCAATAAAACAATAAAACTTATCTGGAGATGAAATCTTCAAAGAGAGCAAACAACACCTCTCTCCTTGCTAATTTACGACCCCCTGCTCACCCTGCCCTCTCTGCCTCTCCCTCTTTTCCCAGAAAAGGGTTCACTCAAAGTTCATTAAGAATATGCATATCCCACATATCATGTATCTTGTGAACCTGTTGTTTTTCCCCTTCATGTTTAGTGTCATTTTAAAAGTCTTTGTGCGATTGGTAAATTGGTTTAAATTTCACAGTAGTCACTTATATTATGAGAAATATTGAAAACTTTTGTAGAATTGTGTTCTGCTGAGGAGGGGGGGGTCCCCCTTTAGGCCTGTGGGAATGTTTATCTATCTCCAGCCAGGTGCAACCCTGGAGCACGGGAACCTAAAAAAACCAAAAGGTATTTTATGTTTTTACAACTGATTTAAAGATGTCTTTGTTTTTGTTCTGGTAGTATTTAAGGGAATGTTGCAAATCAGTCTTTGGGATTCTGTAGTCAGAAAAACCCCCATGCAGTGTGTGAGAGTCTCTGGAGCTCTGCACCAGAACTCTCGCTGCTGTATGTCTCTCTGCTGTCAGGTACGATTCAAAAATGTAATTGTGTCAAACACATTGTGCCCATACTCTGTATAGTATTGTGCTACTACATGTGCACATAGGCTAGTTGAGTTTATTCTTTAAAAACACATGATTACTTTGCTGTAAGTGTTCTTTGAAATACTTAGGTAAAAGGTTGTTGATGCTATGCATTTTAGACCGTGTGACTTGTGTTAAATTAGGATAACGGTTACATGTGACTATGTTAAATTTGTTTGTCTCCTGCATGGAACACTTGGCTATTTTCCATATAGCTACAGTAAACCATGTACCGGAGCAGGGTTGCCACACGGATACAATGTTTCACAATTGCATTATCCTTTCTAAATTGACTTCTAATTGTTTAATTATGTAATTGGCATGATACAATTTTTCCTGACTAATAATAAATTGCTATATTTATTGATTTATTTAGATCTCTTCTGAAATAATTTTTCAAGTAGATTATTGTGTAGTCTAACATTTCCACAAATCTGCGTCCAGGACAGATCATACTTAAGTACCAATGAGTGGGGCAGGGGGCTCTCCATTAGGGATCTTATTATTTCTGTCTGTCACCTGGCTTAACAAGTTACAGTTTTCGTGATTATAGGAAAAATACACGTTTTGTTATTTGTTAGCAGGGTGCGACACTTAAAGGTATTATAATCACCCTGTATTCTCTGAGTAAGTTCGGAACTGGCAAGTTTGTGTCCGTGAGTTCACAGTTGGCCGAGTGAATTTCTAAGCGATGTTAGGTCTTTAATGAATGAATAATTAAAAGTATGGGCTTTCCAGAATACTCAAATATCTAAATTAATAAACAATCGATATGTATGATCAGTTTTTAATTAGAAACATTGCCTAAATTTAGTGATCACTTAAAATTGGAATCAGATTGAAAACGCAGCTAGACTAAAATTTAAACTAATTCCAGATAAATTCAAAAGCGCAAGTAAAAGACCGAATACGCATTAAACCTTCGACCAGGCCACTGGATTCCGCTGTTTTGGGCTGGGGGATGGATTCTTACAGCAGACTCTGACTTGGCAGACATGATGTGATCAGGCTTTGACTTGGTAGACATGACATGAGTAAACTTTGACTTAACTGGCATGACATGAGCAGGCTCTGGAGTAGCAGGCATGAGGTTAGCAGGCCTTAAAGCAGCAGGCATGACGCTAGCAGGCCTTGGAGTAGCAGGCATGATGTGAACAGGCTTTGACTTGACAGGCATGGCGTGAGCAGGTTCAGACTTTGTAGGCATGACGACTGAGGACTTTGGGGAGGTGCCGTGTTCCAATTCCAGCCCATGTTCTGAAGTGAAGTAAACTTCAACGTATTTCCCCCGCTCAGTGAGGAGGGAGCAATGAACACTGTGTAGGGATCATATCGATCGGAACACAGTTCATGCACGTAGCTCACTTCTAACGAGCTGGTTATCTGAATCGGGTGTGTTAACTAAGCGGGACATTCAAAATATGCAGAGCGGGGGGCGCGAGGACTGGATTAATCGCTGGGCTACATCATGTCATTTACCGGTGAGAAAACTTTAAAAGTACTACAATACAAGGAAGGAGTATCGGGTTGTTGATGTTTGCCTGGCATCCTCACGCTGTCTGCACAGCGTGTGTATCGGGTTGTTGATGTTTGCCTGGCATCCTCACGCTGTCTGCACAGCGTGTGTGAACGCGCTGATGACGTGTCCTGTCTGCGCGAACCGGGTGCACAGAGGTATGCTAAACATATGTTGACAGGCAGGTAGGAAAGCTTATTAAAACGCTCGGACCGAGCATTTTGATTGGACGAACATTTCTTGGTCCTATGCCTTCCACAGAATATATAAATACAGATGAATACATTTAGACCACTTAACTTAATGATTGCTATGCGGATGTGAAGAGACTTTCAACCAGCATGACAAAAAATGTTTCTGAAGACAATCACCTATTACACCTTTAACTTCTCGTTTACTGAACTGTATAAAATCAGTATCACATTTGCAAACTGTCTTTGTAATTATTAAAAAGCTGTCATTTGTCTCAGTTCATTGCGATCGCACAAACTTTTGTTATAATCAGTGAAGCTCTACACTGCACAATGAATCTTATTTATATTGTGTCTATTTGTTATAATGAGGACAACTCAGCAGCACTGAATAAAAACAGTTTTGTACCTTAACGCAGCTTTATCCATATCAAATTATCTGTTATCGCAGCTGTTAAAGTAAGATGTTCAGATTTTCTGGAAAAATCACTGTTCATCCTAGATAATTTACCTGAAGCAGGCTGCTTTCGCATTTCCTACATTTCGCATGACTACAGTCTTAAGGTATGGCTAATCACAAAATATGGCTTTGCATAGCTTACCATAGACCCCGCCCCATTTCCAAAAATGAAAGAAAGCATTGGTATTGGACTTGTTCTGGAAAAAGTGGCATCAGTGCATCCCAATTAACATAAGTGAACCTTTAGGAACATATTAAAATAATAACATTACAAAAAATCATGACCCCTTTAAAGTAGCGGTTCTTAATCCTGGTCCCCCTGACACCCTGATATGCATATTTTGCATGTCTCTCTTATTTGACACACATGATTCAAATCACTGTAAGAGAGCTCCATGAATGAACTGTGTTCCGATTGATATGGTCCCTACACAGTGCTCACTGCTCTTTACTGCCTGCACAGAGGACATCGGCTGAAGTTTACTTTACTTAAAAAACATGGATTTAAGCTACACCACTGCCTGCAGCATCATCACACACAGACAAAACTTGCTACAAAAGTGTAAAGCGTTATTTAACTGTAATTATAAAATTTGCATAGTCGTAACGTCTCACGCACTTCAGTGCTCTCTGAATGGAACATATATGCTCCTTTCAAACTGGAATCATGGCGGAATATCCTGTTATGTCCACTCTGCAGGGTACTTACAGTCAAATGGAACAAACTTCTGAAGTAATAAGAGAAACACACAAAATGTGCAAAGCGGGGGTCACGAGGAACAGGAAGAACAGTTGTTTTAATATCACAGGCATTTCTGATGCTTTCACCGCTGTTCCTATTCACATCCAAACTATAAACCAGGGCAAGAATAATAAACTCATTGATTCATGAATCTGTTCCCATTTGTTTTTCTTAAAGCGAACACAGGACTCATCTTTGTCAATCAGGCAATGAATTGGGGAGACGCTCAGAGTTACTGCAGACAGAATCACACTGATCTGGTCAGTGTAAGAAACCAGAATGAGAGTCAACAGGTTGAGAAGATCTTAAAAGATAATAACTCATCTGGATCACATGTCTGGATCGGTCTGTTCAGAGTCAGAGACTCATGGCAGTGGTCAGATCAGAGTGACTCCTCATTCAGATACTGGGAGACTGGTGAACCTAATAATGCTAAAGGTGATGAAAACTGTGTAGCCGTCAATCAGAATGCTCAGGGAAAGTGGATCGATGTCCTTTGCAATCGTCTATATTCTTTTGTGTGTCATGAAGGTGAGTAGATCTTCACAAAACACACACAATCCATCATCACCTCCAGATCTCTTAAAGTTCACACTACATCTCTGAGATGACAAATTCATCCACAGTGTTTTTGGATCAGCCTTCCTGAAACTCACAAACTCAACTTCATCTGCAGCAGATACTAAGAAAGGAGGACACACAAATGTTTGTGTTTACTTGCATTTACTGTTTCCATTCACGATAACTAACCAGGTGATGTTTGACTGGCCTTTTAGTGAACGCACGCTTCAGGTGTATGCACTCTGAATAAGCGCATGTCAGAACAGCACATTTAACCAGCGAGGCTTTAAAGCACACGCAAATAATGTACTTTTGAGATTGTGAATAAGTGCAGTGTCTCGTGAGTGTAACTCTACCGCTGAATTAACAGTTGCAGTTGGAGCTGGAGCCGGGAGACATAGTAAATACAGCTCATTGCTTGAGGTTGATTGTGTTTTGTTAGTAAATGTTTCATTATATTACTAGTGTTGCCTCCTTTGTTCACTATTACACTACTGCATTGCATCTGACACTGGTGTCGCTTAGTTTTGTAACGTGGGCCCACACTTTCGAATGTTTCACTCTTGCCGTGATGACTGATTGCACGCAAGCACACACCGTGGATATCTCACGTACGTCGAGCAAACGTTGGCCACTTCATTCAGTGAAGGAAAATGACAAGCAGCAGCTTCTAATTCACCATTAACATTGAAGTATACGGAGATAAAACAACGCAAGTATCGATAACAGTATCGTTTGTCCTGAAGCTTATCGGTAGTCCGGTATTGACCCAATTACGTACTGGTCCAAAAAAATATCGGTTCTCGGTACCCATCCCTATTACTCGTCTATCAAGAAGAAACAACGCAACCTCGACGTCTGATTCCAAGCCTTCCCGCTCCTTGAGTTCTCTCCATCGCTGGAAAGCTGGTCCGATATTTACGTGGGTCCTAACCTCTTACCTGATCGTAACCCTTCTTTTTTAATATTTTGTTCCTCTGATATCTCTCTCTATCTATAATCAATCTGCTAATATCCGTCCTGTGCACTCAAATTGAGCACTCTCTTCCTCCTTTCATTACTAGACACGCCCCTTACTGCTGATTGGCTACAAGTGCTTTTTGGGACTCGGCCCACTTTGGTCAAAAGCGTTTTTCAAATATTGCTAAGTGCACCTTTAACTGTACAGTTGTTGACATTAGCTCTGTTATAAAAACAAATATCAATTGTCATTAGTGCTTCAGTGTTATAGATTGCCAGAATTCGTTGTGCTTATTCATCATTTTCACCACCAAGTGGTCACAATTGTTTTTTTTAACATTTGAATAAGGAACCCATTCACTCATACTTTTACTTTCTGGTCTGCTGATGTTGGATAAAATAAGATTCGTTCAGTATGTTTTAGAAATTAACAACAAAGCTGTTGAGGAACCTGGAAAATCTGAGAAAAAACTGGAGAAGAGCAGAAAAGTAAGAGGAACCAAAATTGCAGTCATGTAACTGGTAAAAATCTATAAATTCAGCAAATCAGTAGATAAAAAAAAATGTGTAAAAGATGCTCGGGACAGTTGACGGAATGTATCATCATGTTTTTAAGTCTTGCTCATTTAAAAATTCAAGTGATTTTAAATTATTTTAAGCACAAGAAGACGCAAAATAACTCAATTTACCCTTTGCAGGGAGCTTGATTGACACGGACGTTCTGACCAATCATAATGCCGAATCCGCCATTTTCATCTGACAAACAAACCAGACAGGAGAGTAGATTAGCGTAGGTGGATTTAAACTTGAAACATTCTGAACTGACATCTTTCTGTGGTTGAAACAAGATACCTTCAGATGTTCATTCATGTTTATTTGGCACTTTAAATAGCAGGTCATATGGGTTTAAAAAAAATCATCTATTTTGCCTTTTTAACGTAGCTATCTTTCAATGTAAGCAGTCTGCAAAGTTGTTAATCAAAAAAGTGCATGATAAATAAAGATATTGTCTCTCAAAAAAAATAAAAATAAAAAAAAGAGTCGACTCTGAACCGCCTTAACGAGTCATCATATTTTAGAATCTTCTGCCTGTTACCGATATACGTCACTAGGTAACACATTTGCATAATCCCCGCCTGCCTGCGAAATACAAACACTCTGACCTGCCCACAAACACTTCCGCTAGTTAGTGTGTTTACATCATGTGGAGAAAACTCTGTGTTCTGCTCTGAGAAAGCAAGTTTTTCAATGTAAGCAGTCTGCAAAGTTGTTAATCAAAAAAGTGCATGATAAATAAAGATATTGTCTCTCAAAAAAAATAAAAATAAAAAAAAGAGTCGACTCTGAACCGCCTTAACGAGTCATCATATTTTAGAATCTTCTGCCTGTTACCGATATACGTCACTAGGTAACACATTTGCATAATCCCCGCCTGCCTGCGAAATACAAACACTCTGACCTGCCCACAAACACTTCCGCTAGTTAGTGTGTTTACATCATGTGGAGAAAACTCTGTGTTCTGCTCTGAGAAAGCAAGTTTGTTTTGTTTTCATTGCCGAAAGATGATGATGTGAAGAATCAGTGATTAAAATTATTTTTTTTCACAATACCACAGCAGCAATACAATTCAAATTCTTTTGTTGTGTGTTCGTCATTTTACAGAGGACTGCTTCTCTAATCTTGGAGAGTTCAAGGCGGGATTCGCTAAACTATTTTTCATGAACGATAAGTCCATACCTTCTTTTTTTGGACCAACAAGCATCTCCGAACCACAACCTGTAAGTACAATTGATACGTTATGTGTACATTTTCAACTGAGTGCTCAAAATATTGTTTTTTTTGTGCTAATATGTGATGTATACCTAGTGCAGCTTTACGTTTCCAGATAAAACACGATATTACGGTCTTACTGAAATAGTTCTGATAATTCGCTGTGAACCCACTATTTCTTAAGAATGTGTTGATTAATGTAGAATGTCATTGTTCTAATTACTTAGTTTAATAATAAAGAATGTAGACATATTTTGGTTTACAAACTGAATTGTTTCATCAGTTAGTCAAGTTAGCACTCGGCTAACATAGCCACCATAATTTTTTTGTTAAGTGTTTACAGTTTAGCAACTAGATTTCAGCTGTGGGCACAATTCGCTTGCATAAGTATTAAACAAAAGGTTTTTTTATGTCATTATTTTACAGTTTTTATTTTTTTTTACGATTGCTTACGCACAATTTAAAAAACAAGGCTCATTTTGTCAAAACACTACACACAATTCACACACACACACACACAAGTATCAGAACATTTCAGATCTTTTGCAAAACGAAGCACATCATTCAACACTTTACAATAATTTAACAAAACCCAATTTTGGTTCCATATGGCACACACATGGTTCATACAGTTGGATTCTTTTTGAAGATCCAATGTCCGAACTGTCTCAACAGCCGGCGCATGATGTTTCTTCTTCTTCTTGCTTTACGGTGGATCACAGACTTATAAGTGCGCGACCGCCACCTATCTCTCAAATGGACCATTGATACTCTATCTACAATCACAATTAGGAGTGTCCAATGGTTTAATTTGGTTTTGTTTGTGTATGTTTTTTACATACATCTACAGCTTGGATGCCCTGGGGGTAAGCAGATAAACATCAAATTTTCATTTTTGGGTGAACTATGAGCTGTTTGTATGAAAAATAGAGCTGCATGATTCTGGATAAATTGAGTTGTTGTTTGTTTTCAATGGAAGTTGTGGTTCTCTCACAATTCTGAAGTAAAAAAAAAAAAACATTAGACAACTAAACAAAATCACATGTAATTTATGAATGAATGATACAATGACTCACTCAATATATACTTGTACTTGTTTCATTACTGGATGAATCAGCATTTTTGAGAAAACATTTTAACAGCCCCTTTTCGCCACCTACTGGCGTAACAACATAGCCAATAAATCTTCATTTGAAGTGTCAAATTACTTTCAAAAGGTGATTTACTCTATTCTAATCGTTAACGTACACATCATAGTTTATATCAGAACCATAAAGTTTTATACCAGTATTTCTGTGATTTGAATGTTTGTAACAGAAATAATGATACTGTGTGCTTGGAAAGACTGTGAAGCTGTTTTATTCATTTACTGTACATGACAGCAGCTGCTTAGGTCAGCAGCAGCGCAAATGCACATTTAAATGTTCAAATCACACTGATGTGATCGTACTCGGCACGGACGAACCAAGTGATCACAATGTTGTGATCGCACATGTTCAAAGGTTGAGGAATGAAACAGATGCATCATTGTAATTTAGGAATAGAATCACATTGGTGTTTGAATCGTGTTCGCGATCTTTAACGATCTATTAAATTAAAGTGCTTTGTCATGATGGCGGTGACACCTCTCTTGAAACATGATTAGCTTATCACAGATATTATACTTAGCTTTTTTGGCTTCTGATCGCAAGTGTAGCCAAACTTTGGAGCACTTAGATTAGCGAGCAAGGTCCTGGCAGATCGCTAGGTCAGGTCCTCACAGATGAAGAAAAAAAAAAGTGCACACAGGAATCTAAATTTAAATTTTACAAGAAGTATCCGATTCCTGACCTTAAGAATCCGATTCTGGAATTTTTGCTCATGTTATTCAGCTGCAACAGAATGTGTTGGAAAAAGGCACATAATAAATGTTTGACTTTTTTATATATTGGATTTTTTTATCTTATTGGAATCGAAACTAGGAATCAATAAGGACTGGAATCGATGAGCAGAAACGGAATCAGAATCAATAAAATTCAAACGATACTCAACCCTACTTATATACTTGTATGCAAAATCCACTAGCCAAATTTCTTTGCCGTTTTCTCAAATCAGAGATGATTGGGGCTCCCTAGTAAACCCCTAAAGTCCTCACAACAAAACATCTCCGTTCCTGCTTGTGCTTTGTTTGGTTTCCAGATAAACTGATTGTGATCAGAGAGAGTCGGACGTGGTCTGAAGCTCTGAGATACTGCAGACAGAATCATGTGGATCTGGTCTCGGTTCATTCAGAAGAGATGCAGCGTCGTGTGATGAACGTGGTTAAACGAGCGGAGGTGTGGTTGGGTTTACGTCACTCCTGCAGTGACAAAAAAGACAACAAATGTGTGTGTTTCTTGTTGATGTGGGTCTGTTTGCTCCATTTTAAAAGCCTCATTGGTTACAAACTCATTCAACATGTGCTTTGTGTCATTTAGTAACCGCAGAATTATGAGACATTCATCTGCCAATTTAATTCTGTGAGGGGTCATAAGGGCATCATATTTACTCATCATTTTCTCTTATGTTTGAAGACTTTTATGTTTTATAATCACCTTTAGAAATGATTTAATGTGATTCTGTGAGCAGCAGCTCTTGACAAGAATATCCGTTGTGTCCGAAGAATTTACTTATACTGTATTATAGTGTATAGTATAGAGTCATGCAGGTGTCTGTACATTCACTTTATTTATGCATTTTGGTTTTTCAAATCTGTTACTGTCAAAGCCTCATTATTATCTATTAATTTATTAGATTTTTTTGGAGCTCAGTCATTCAGTAGCACTGACTGTTCTTGAAGATTTTTATTGATCAAGGTGGGAATTAATCAAGAATAATCAATGTGAATATAACCATTTATGTATCAAGTTATTATACTCATGTATTTGCCTGTGTGTGTAGAGGCCTGCATTAGAATGGAATGCGCAGACATACATTTTGTGCTGAAGCTGCACATCCTCTTTTGACATTAGACAAAAGAAATATATAACGAGGCCTCCGCCTCTTGTCCACTTCCTAAATGCAGACTGGATGCACAGCCAAAAAAAGGTAAACAATAACGATTATATAGGAAATGTATTGAACACACCTTGGGGAAAAACTATATAAAAGAGAGTGCAGACACAGACTAGAGAGATCTAGATTTAGGCCTAATGGTTAGAGATTCTGACTTGTAACCCAAAGTCTCGATGCCAGCAGGGGATTGTAGGTGGGTGGAGTGAATGACCTGCGCTCGCTTCCACCTTCAATACCACGCCTAATGAGACCCTTGAGCAAGGCAACAACAATGGCTGCCCACTACTCTGGCTGTGTGTTCACTACTCACTGCGGTGTGTGTGCACTTGGATGGGTGAAATGCAGAGCACAATTCAGAGTATGGGAGACCATACTTGGCCACACGTCCTTTCCTTTCCTTATTTGTGGCAATATCTTGAAATCGACCATGCTTAAGTCACACACAGACTTCAAAAACACCTTGCAAAACACAACAATGGTAACAAATCAATTTTATTTATTTTTATTAATTGTGACGATACCAATTTTCTTTGCTATTTTTGTTGTGCTACTACAAGACAGAAAATGAAATTATATTTAAAAACGATTAAATATATATATATAATAATAATAATAAAGAAACCAAAAGCAAAACAGTAAAATATAGCAACTGCATAATAGATTAGCGAGCAAGGTCCTGGCAGATCGCTAGGTCAGGTCCTCACAGATGAAGAAAAAAAAAAGTGCACACAGGAATCTAAATTTAAATTTTACAAGAAGTATCCGATTCCTGACCTTAAGGATCCGATTCTGGAATTTTTGCTCATGTTATTCAGCTGCAACAGAATGTTTTGGAAAAAGGCACATAATAAATGTTTGACTTCTTTTTTATATATTGGATTTTTTTATCTTATTGGAATCGAAACTAGGAATCAATAAGGACTGGAATCGATGAGCAGAATCGGAATCAGAATCAATAAAATTCAAACGATACTCAACCCTACTTATATACTTGTATGCAAAATCCCCTAGACAAATTTCTTTGCCGTTTTCTCAAATCAGAGATGATTGGGGCTCCCTAGTAAACCCCTAAAGTCCTCACAACAAAACATCTCCGTTCCTGCTTGTGCTTTGTTTGGTTTCCAGATAAACTGATTGTGATCAGAGAGAATCGGACGTGGTCTGGAGCTCTGAGATACTGCAGACAGAATCATGTGGATCTGGTCTCGGTTCATTCAGAAGAGATACAGCGTCGTGTGATGAACGTGGTTAAACGAGCGTCTACTGCGGAGGTGTGGTTGGGTTTACGTCACTCCTGCAGTGACAAAAAAGACAACAAATGTGTGTGTTTCTTGTTGATGTGGGTCTGTTTGCTCCATTTTAAAAGCCTCATTGGTTAAACTCATTCAACATGTGCTTTGTGTCATTTAGTAACCGCAGAATTATGAGACATTCATCTGCCAATTTAATTCTGTGAGGGGTCATAAGGGCATCATATTTACTCATCATTTTCTCTTATGTTTGAAGACTTTTATGTTTTATGATCACCTTTAGAAATGACTGAATGTGATTCTGTGAGCAGCAGCTCTTGACAAGAATATCCGTTGTGTCCGAAGAATTTACTTATACTGTATTATAGTGTATAGTATAGAGTCATGCAGGTGTCTGTACATTCACTTTATTTATGCATTTTGGTTTTTCAAATCTGTTACTGTCAAAGTCTCATTATTATCTATTAATTTATTAGATTTTTTTGGAGCTCAGTCATTCAGTAGCACTGACTGTTGTTGAAGATTTTTATTGATCAAGGTGTGAATTAATCAAGAATAATCAATGTGAATATAACCATTTATGTATCAAGTTATTATACTATTATACTCATGTATTTGCCTGTGTGTGTAGAGGCCTGCATTAGAATGGAATGCGCAGACATACATTTTGTGCTGAAGCTGCACATCCTCTTTTGACATTAGACAAAAGAAATATATAACGAGGCCTCCACCTCTTGTCCACTTCCTAAATGCAGACTGGATGCACAGCCAAAAAAAGGTAAACAATAACGATTATATAGGAAATGTATTGAACACACCTTGGGGAAAAACTATATAAAAGAGAGTGCAGACACAGACTAGAGAGATCTAGGTTTAGGCCTAATGGTTAGAGATTCTGACTTGTAACCCAAAGTCTCGATGCCAGCAGGGGATTGTAGGTGGGTGGAGTGAATGACCTGCACTTGCTTCCACCTTCAATACCACGCCTAATGAGACCCTTGAGCAAGGCACCAACAATGGCTGCCCACTACTCTGGCTGTGTGTTCACTACTCACTGCGGTGTGTGTGCACTTGGATGGGTGAAATGCAGAGCACAATTCAGAGTATGGGAGACCATACTTGGCCACACGTCCTTTCCTTTCCTTATTTGTGGCAATATCTTGAAATCGACCATGCTTAAGTCACACACAGACTTCAAAAACACCTTGCAAAACACAACAATGGTAACAAATCAATTTTATTTATTTTTATTAATTGTGACGATACCAATTTTCTTTGCTATTTTTGTTGTGCTACTACAAGACAGAAAATGAAATTATATTTAAAAACGATTAAATATATATATATAATAATAATAATAAAGAAACCAAAAGCAAAACAGTAAAATATAGCAACTGCATAATTTATCTATGCCACAACTGGGAGTCAGTAATTCTGAGTAGCTAGGCTATACTAAGTCAAAAGTAAATTATCAAGTAATCCCTACAGTGCTTTTTAGCTACTAGAACGCTTGTGTAAGCGAACTATACTAACTGAAGATTGGTCAGTACAACATACTATTCCTATTTCACTTTACTTATTTATTTTTTGCTTTCATTTGCCACAATGGCAGATTATAACATTCAGGATTCACGTACTGCATGGCAAGATTAAATTAATTTACATTTAACCGAGTTTAATATGGAGTGACACTGAAATGTAGACCTTCGTTTATGTGTTTTTAACTTACACTGTACATGACAGAACAGTTCGCTGTTTAGGTTTGAATGTTAGCATGGACTCATTAACTTTAACGTTTTTTTTACATTTTTTTTTTATTGTTGTTTAATTGATAAATAATGATTTATTTTTGCTGTGTATATTTGTATTTTTGAAATTAGCGGCTTAATTTCTATAAAATTGTGGCATTGCACTGATTAACCTCGACCTTTGGTTAGTTTGGACTGCACAAACGTCATTTGTTAGAGTAATGGAAATAATAGAATAGTCGACATAAAACATGGAGAATAACCATGTGAGTTAAACAATGTTTCTATATATTTCATGGTCATGTTACATGTAGGTTTACTACAGTGTGAGAACCACTTATACTGTGTAGAATAGATCACTGATTAAAGTTTAAAGTTGAAAAAAAGGTAATCTTTCTTAAACTGGTGTTCCAAGGTATTACTGTATGTGTTTGTAAGAGATGTACATCGTCACTCGGCAGAGGAGCACTGATGTTAATCTTAGTAGATTTAGGCTAAGAGTTCAAAGGGGAAGAATATATTTTTAGATGCTAGCTTGTATATTGTACTAGCTCTATATTATATCTGTAATTAATTTCATTACGTTCATGTCTATCTGTCTCTATTTGTTAACAATACACAGTTACACACAATGCATTATAATTCTTATAAATATGTGAATAATCACCAAAAGGAAACTAAGCAGAAATTAATGAAATAATATGTCTATTGTTAAGCATAATTATAAAGAAATTTCAGGCAATGCATTTAGAATCAGAATGACCATCTTTAACAAAAGTACATTTAGTGACATAAAGGCAGTCTTGATTTCCAGTATGTTATTTTCCATTGACACAGTGACCTGCAAGTAAAATATTTGCTTATTATATCTCATAGCAAATTTAGAATCATTCCTATTTGTGCAGCTTATTTCATGTCTTATTGTACAGTTGTGAGAACAGACTCACGTTTACCAGCATTCACCTTCCGGATCACCCGCTGAGGGGTCTGAGACCACCGTAGAGTCATGTTTGTGAGTCCTCTATCAGCCAGAGCAGATCCAAACTGAAAATAACACATTTAGATTGGAATACACTTAAATCTTCATGTTTCATAGAAACGTTGATCATACCACTGTAAACCCTGTTTACAACAAAGCCATTATATTCCTCATGGAGCAGCTCTGGAGCAATATCAACTTATTAATACGTATTTGGTGAATTTTCTGAAATAACTTTGATTTTTGATCACTGAAAGCTTCTGTAAGAACGAAGGTTTCATGTACATCTCCAAATGCACAACAAACCTTAACATGTCCACAAAGACATTTAAGGGTTTCATCGAATTTCAAGTGCATCTCATCTATGGGGCTATAAGGTCTGTTTTTAAAAAGATGGAAACCAGATGAGAGCTGCTGCTAATTAACAGTAATCATGCCAGTTGAATGTTTTTCCTTCTCTTACCTGTTTAAGAACATTTTCTGTCACTGAAGGGTCAGTTAAATCAGCTCTGGAGTTAAACTGCATCTTTACAAATGATCTTTTAAAAACTGGAACTAAACAAAGATACATGTAATATGAATTAGTAGAGGTTGCATTCGTTAAAAACGTATTAATGCTCCTCACTGTTTTGTTGATAAAAAACATGTGACATTGTCAAACCTCCTTCATAGACCTCCACCTCACACAGAGTGAGTGTCTTCATGTCTCCAGGAATGATCAGATTCACGTAACGTCCCTCCATCCCAGCGCATGAGTAGCTGTAGGACTCACCTGCTGGAATAGCAGGAATAACAGCACATCTACACACAGAGAGAAAGAATATAAAAATACTGTCATATCTGAATGAATCCTTCACATTTGTGCCCGATGTCTCACATTTTTTCAAACTCAAGGGTCTCACATGGGATTGTTGTTGCCGTTGATCTCCAAAGAGTTCCCGATGCGAATCTCCGCTCCGTTTATTTGTTCTGCACAGCAGTCGTTTCTGTTAGTGATGACCACTTCACTAATTGTGTACACATCACGCAGATCCAGCCTCCACCATGGGTTAGTCTCACTAAGGGTTGATGAGCATGCTGTATTCTGCTGGAGACCTCGATTACTGTCGATGGCCTTTTCAGCAAACCAGCCTGTAATTGTTGATGACTGCGTAGTGGCTCCATCCACTGCCAAATTTCCTAATTAAATTTATGTAAGAGAAGAAGAAGAAAAAAGATACATTCTAAAGCACAAACTTGTGCATTAAGTGGTTGGGAAGATTATAAAAATGACTTGAGGTTAAGTGAGTAATTTCATCAACTACTGTCAACAAACGGAATTATAAACACAGTGACGTTGTGTCTAACGATGCCCTCACAACTATATTCACAATAATTACTCCATTAGATCATCAACAACACCTCGTCAACAACTACCCATCTCTCCATCTTCAAGAACTTTCAATTGGAATGAAAAGTATGTTTTGTAACACAGTTGATGCATTTCTTTACTGCATTGCTTTTTCCTACGTCTTGCGCTGGCCAGCATTCTGTCAGGACCACTATCGTCAGAATGATAGATACTTAGCATAAAGTTTGGTTTGGCGGTATGGTTCTGTTCTGGGCAAAAAACCTCCCTGCCCATCCATGCAGCCTGTCATGAATGAGCAGGGAGAGCAGCAATAATAACCCCCCTAGGGTTAACAGAACAGAACAATGCAGATATCATTAATGTACTCAATGATATTTAAGTGTAACACTTTATTCAAGATAAAGGAGTCTGATTAGCAAGGAATATCAGAAAGCTAAGTCCTGACTGTGGCGAAAGGTGGAGCTGGGGATGGAGGAGGGTAATTTGCTCCGAAGCAAGCTAAAAAGCTGCTGAATAATACTGAATACAGCTTATATAGGAATGCCGCGATAGGTGTCGTATTCCTATAGGTAGATGTGATCAGCTGAGAATCAGCTGATGCAAGCTTGACTCACGTGACCTGCCAGAACTAACGCTAAAGCTTAATTTATATGATCATGCTCGATACGAGCCCCTCGGCCTGCCACCCACCACTGGCTTTTGTATTGCAGAAAACAAGCTCTGTGACCAACACATGTTCATGATTCTGACACGCTTTGTTGGTCATGATAATCTGATAAATGATTTATAATCTTCATTAATAAACACTAATTTTGAAGTCTAAACACTATTGGCAGAATTAAAAAAAAATAATATTTTGAAGCCTTAACACAATAGGCAGAAGTAAAAATAAATAAATAAATAATTAAACTATTTTGAATAATTACTCCATTAGATCATCAACAACACCTCGTCAACAACTACCCATCTCTCCATCTTCAAGAACTTTCAATTGGAATGAAAAGTATGTTTTGTAACACAGTTGATGCATTTCTTTACTGCATTGCTTTTTCCTACGTCTTGCGCTGGCCAGCATTATATGATCATGCTCGATACGAGCCCCTCGGCCTGCCACCCACCACTGGCTTTTGTATTGCAGAAAACAAGCTCTGTGACCAACACATGTTCATGATTCTGACACGCTTTGTTGGTCATGATAATCTGATAAATGATTTATAATCTTCATTAATAAACACTAATTTTGAAGTCTAAACACTATTGGCAGAATTTAAAAAAAATAATATTTTGAAGCCTTAACACAATAGGCAGAAGTAAAAATAAATAAATAAATAATTAAACTATTTTGAAGCTTAAACACTATCGGCAGAAGTAAAAATAAATAAATAAATAATTAAACTATTTTGAAGCTTAAACACTATCGGCAGAAGTAAAAAAAAAACTGTTTTGAAGCCTTAACACAATCGGCAGAAGTATAAAACTATTCTGAATCCAAAACACAATAGGCAGAAGTAAATTAAATAAATCAATAAATAAACTATTTTGAAGCTTAAACACTATTGGCAGAAGTAAAAAATTAAAAAATAAATAAAAAAATTTACTATTTTGAAGCTTAAACACTATTGGCAGAATAAAAAAAACTGTTTTGAAGCTTTAACACAATCGGCAGAAGTATAAAACTATTCTGAATCCTAAACACAATAGACAGAAGTAAAAATAAATAAATAAATAAAAACTATTTTGAAGCTTAACACTATCGTCAGAATTAAATATATATATATTTTGAAGCCTAAACACTATCGGCAGAAGTAAAAAAATAAAAAAAATAAACTATTTTGAAGCTTAACACTATCGTCAGAATTAAATATATATATATTTTGAAGCCTAAACACAATCAGCAGAAGTAAAAAATAAAAAAAATAAAAAAATAAAATAAACTATTTTGAAGCTTAGACACTATTGGCAGAATAAAAAAAAAACAGTTTTGAAGCTTTAACACAATCGGCAGAAGTAAAAATAAATAAATAAATAAAAACTATTTTGAAGCTTAAAACAGTAAGAGTGCATGGTTTATCTGTCCATCAGATGCGTGTCAAAGTTGTGTTCGTTACTATAACAACAGTAGATCAAACAAGAGATCACAAGAAAATTAAGTCGTTATAAGGAGAAAACAACTTTCGTTATGTCGAGATAACGAGAAAATTAAGTATTAAAGTAAAAAAATTAACTGTAGCCTATAAAGGGTTATGACTTCAACATCGCACCATTAAGCTTCAACAATTCTTTCAGGCTTTACTTTAATGGGTTAATTCACCCAAAAAATTAAATTCTGTCGTGATTCGTTTTTTTTATTTCTTTATGAACTTTTTGAAGAGATAGTGGTAGTTGTGTGAACTGTCAATGGGGGCACAGAAATCAATCAGAATTCATTAAAAATATCTTCATTTGTGTTTCGAAGATGAACCAATGTCTTTTGGGTTTGGAAAGACACAAAGGTGAGTAAATGATAAAAGAATTGTTATTTTAGGGTGAACTAACCCTTTAAAAAATTCCCTGAAAGTTTGAGTTAGAATAGTTTGCAAGAACTTGATTATAAACTCTGAAAGTGAGTAATAAGTAGATGAGTTTATCTCTTTTATGTTTGACTTGATAAACTCATCACTTGTTGGCAAATACCTTTTTCAAATGTGAATTGTTTTAAAAATCATATACAGCATACATGATACAGCATAATCAGTACAATGAAAGGGATTAGTACTACTCGTGTATTTTAATGAATGAAGTCATGCTAATATGAGCATGAACAAAGCATGACTGTTTAGATTTTTGGCAAACTATGTCTTTACTGGACATATTTTTAAGTATATTACATTCACTGTTGAAAAGTGCTCTTCAACAATTAATTACCTGCCAAATACCCATAAACGCCAACTTCACTAAGACTAAGAATCTTCTGATATCCAGGAAGATGAACAATCATATAACGTCCCTCCATCCCACCGCATGAGAAAGTGGCCGTGGCACCGTCTGCAAGAGTAGAAATTACAGCACATCTACAGACAGAAAGATCATCTGTTATATGTTTCTGTTCATCTGCAGTCATATTAACCAAGACAGTCAAAGAAATATCCTCACATTCTGTTGCTGTTAATGTCAGGGAAGTTCCCGATACGAATCTCCGCCCCGTAAATCCTATAACCCAAGTACGGTCTATTAGTGATGGTGACTCTGTTCACTCTGTACACCTTCAGTAGATCCATTCTCCACCACGGGTTGGTCTCAATGGTAGTGTGGGTATAGGTGTTTGACAATCCATCAAGAGCCAATTCAGGTCCATAGCCAGAAGTTGAAGACTGACTAGATTTACCCCATAGTGCTGCGTTCTCTGGAAATTGTTTCAGAGATGAAGGCCAGTAAGAATCACTATCTTTTTATTGTCATTTAGTGTTAGATTTTGCACAGGACTTTTACCAAATTCATCTTCATTACTCATCATCAGCAACATGCCTACCACAGGGGCATACAATTAAGGGTCGCAAACAAATGTCAGATATTTGCAATGAAGGGGCACTAGAATGATCCTACAGTGAGCATCATTTATTGTATCAGATATCCAACATTTGTTATACTTATCTATATTGTGATTGGTTTGCTATGTTAAATTAAACAGACATCATTATAATCTGATATAAGGACTGGACAAGAATTTAAAGTTGCAATGAACTGGAAGTAACATCTCTTTTCTATTGTGATGGACATTTGAGTGAAACAGACTATTGAAAAAAAAATGAATGTAGGGTACAATGCATCAGATGTTGATTTGATGTTTACATGTAATTAAAATGTTAGTGCTCTAAATAATTGGAGAATCATATACAAGAAACGTCTCAGGTTACTTATGTAACCATGGTTCCCTGAGTAGGGAACGAGACACTGCGTCCTCTAGGGGTCGCTATGGGGAACGCCTCGTCGTGACCCGTGTCTGAAGCATACATTGAAAAAACACCAACTCGTTGGCCGGCGACAGCCATGACGTCACTACCGGTGCGACTACAGTATAAATCGGTGCCGGGAGCTACACATCGTTCACTTCTTCGTCTGAAGCTTGCGTCCGCAGCATGGCAAGAAACCTAGAGGACGCAGTGTCTCGTTCCCTACTCAGGGAACCATGGTTACATAAGTAACCTGAGACGTTCCCTTTCATGGGAACTTCGAACTGCGTCCTCTAGGGGTCGCTATGGGGAACGGTATACCCACGCCGCCATGCTGAGGGGAGTGCAAGCCAGAACCATGGCGAGCACTAAGAACCAACTCTACCATATTGCTATGGGAGTTGCCCCTGGGACGTTTAGACGGCTGTCAGTGACGTTATTCCCTACGGCCAAAGGCCTAGGCTACATACCCCAAACTACTTACCTGTTAGGGCCAGACTCCTGGGCCCGGGGTAGAGCTCAAGGCTTGGAATCAGAAACAGATTCCTTTAAGGGAATACGACCAAGAGCCTAGAATCATACTAGTCTTGGTCTGTCACACAGGGGCTACCGCACGTTTGTCTTGTGGTGAAGGAACTGTCTCAACAGATCCTTAGTAGCAATACCCTGTTAAGTAGGTATCCAGAGGATACATAGGGGGAGTGGTGCCCAAGGCAGAACCGGGGTTTTAAACCACTCAAAAAGAGCACGAAGTCTTGCGCGTAGCTCTTACCATACAGGATTTTTAGAAAAGTGGGCAAAGCATAACGTGCACACTTACCACTTATGTGGATTTTAGAAAAGTGGGCAAAGCATAACGTGCACTACACTTGTATACCGTTCTAGGGGTTCTCGTGGCACCCTGAAAAGGCAGCCTATAGATAAAAATAGCGTATCCCCAGACGCTATATCTACGGCTATAATGCTGGAGTGGCTAGCAGTAAATCTGTAGCTGGGGGAGAACATCCAGCTCTTAATGGAGAGGGAGCTCAACCTACAGCATGTTCCCATGGTGGAACAGCTAGCAGTTATTCAGCTGAGGGAGCAACACACTCAGTTCTCAAACCGAGACGGGGCTCGACCTGCAGCATGTTCCGCACTGGAACAGCTAGCAATAGTTTACTTAGCTGTGGGGGCAACACACCTAGTTCTCAGTCGAGAAGGGGGCTCGGCCTACAGCATGTTCCAATGCAGGAACGCTAGCAGTAGTTTACTTAGCTGTGGGGGCAACACACCTAGTTCTCAGTCGAGAAGGGGGCTCGGCCTACAGCATGTTCCAATGCAGGAACGCTAGCAGTAGTTTACCTTGGCTGAGGGAGCACAAACCCAGCTCTCAACGAGCGGGGGGGGGGGGGCTCGACCTGCAGCATGATTGAAAATCAGAGGGGTAAGCATACTGCAGTCTAGCCAAACTCTCATTCAGGTAACCCTTTGATAAAAGGGGAGCATTGTCTCAATACTACCATGAGGACAGCCCATGGAGCGAGGAATCTAACTCCTCAGAGAGGATTAACGCTCGAAAGAGACATCATACTCACAATAACCCTCAATGGTGAGGGGGGTGATGCCTCAAGGGGATATCCTGGTGATCGGGAAAAACCCCTCAGGGCGACCCGGATACGGTAGACCAGTCAGGGTAGCATGAAAGCGTAAACCCCAGCCCGGACGTCCAGGAAATTTTCTGCAGTGACACCGGGGGCCTGATAATCACAAAACTCCCGCAGAAGCCTGTGTTATGGCCGCATGATCCAGGAAGTATGAAACCTTACTTACCTTCTGGACATATCTCGACGAGTGAAATAAACACTGCAAGTCGAGCACCCGGTTTCTGACCCCAGCACGGGAAACACTGCAAAGAAACTAGCAGAAGGGTACACACAACCACCAGTTTCATAGCACATACATATATTTATATACATATATTTAGACATGGATCGTACTCACCCACCACGGCTCCCGCGTTGGAGCTCTGTCCGGAAAGCCTCTAGACCGGACCTTCAGTAAGGTGGTTACTATGATAACCATAGAACCAACCAAAACATCATAGGTCCAGAAGGAGACTGTTATGCGGGAAGCTTCCACCTGACCTCGGTCAGGTGGCGATATGGTGGTTACAGGGGAATTAGGAAGGGGAAGAAAGGGGTAGATGTTACACCCCCTGAGGGAAAGAGTGGATACCTAAGTATTACTCTGATCCGGACGAAAGCTCTGACGCCTTGTCTGGATCACATCCCTCAGGTCTTGCCTACCTCCCTTCGACCCACGATACTTCCTACCCCTACCCGCAGGCGGAGGAGGAGCGCGAGTCGCGACACTAGCCTTCTGTGCTCGTCTCTGATCCTCAAATCGAGACGGGCCAGGACCCCTGGGTTGTTCGGGCTCAGACCTGGACCTTCGTGGAATGAAGGTTTTGAAGGCCGCTGAGCGTGCCTTCGCCTCCCTGAACTTTTCGATGACCGTCTCAACGGATGTACCAAAAAGTTCAGAGGGCGAAACCGGGGCATCGAGAAGAAAACCCCTTTCTTTCTTCCCGATGTCTGCCAGGTTTACCCACAGCTGCCTCTCCGTTACTACCATCGCTGCCATAGATCTGCCCATGGCAGAGGCAGCCTGCTTAGTAGCACGAAGAGCAAGATCCGTGGTGCGGCGTAACTCAGCCATCTCATCAGAAGAAAGGCCCTCGCCTTTATCCAGGTCTTTCAGCAGATCAGCCTGGTATGCTTGAAGCACCGCCATCGTGTGCAGTGAAGCAACAGCCTGACCTGCTGCTGCGTATGCCTTGCCATTCATTTTAGATGTAGCTTGAAGAGGCATGGATGGCAAGGAGGGAGTTTTGAGAGATGATGTCTCTCCCATAGAGAGATAGCTAGCTAGCGTCTCTTCTACAGGGGGCATTCTCTCATAGCCGTTTTCGCGCACCGCCTCGATATTCGCATAACTGGTATGCTGAAACCGATGGATGCGTGAGGAAAACGGCTTCTTCCCTTCCTTCTCGATCTCAGTATGGAGATCAGGAAGGAAAGGAAGACTCACCTGAGCTGGAGGGTTATGGCCAGAAAGATAACGTTCGTCGAGACGACCTCGCGACGCCACTTCCTTAGTCCGCTTCCATGGCAAGTCAAGTCTTGCCGTGGCGCGATCCATAACCTCTAAGAGCTCATCATACGCAGGGCAGGAGGATTGAGAAGGCTCAGCCTCAGCTTCTTCGCTCTCATCATCCATTTCCTGCTCTTCCTGGGCTGAACCCAGCAGAGCACTGGCCCCTGGATCAGATGATGTTAAAGAGAGAACATCATCCTCCAGTGGCTGTCTCTCGCCCCCCGCCGATGAGCGCGAGAAGGAAAGTCCCTCTCTAAACTCATCGGCCAGGTCCACCTGAGATCCCCACGAGCTCATTCTCCTCCGTGCCTCAGCAGCGGAGGGTCCTGAACCGCGGGAAGCAGATGGCTGCCCCTCTTTACTTGAAAAGAGAGACCAACGAGAACGGAGTTTTTTCATTGGAAAAAACTCGCAATGCACGCAGATTGCCCCCTCGAGGACATCGCGTGCGTGCTCCTCGCCCAAACAAACAACACATAGATCGTGTGTGTCATCTGGTGTCAAATAGCGCTGCCACGGATGCACACACCTTCTAAATGCTCTACTAGTGCTCGCCATAATAAATAGATAGCTCTTACTTTTTCCTTGAAAATGCACGCTTCAAACAGAACAGTCAATGAAGACGAAGAAGAGAATGATGTGTAGCTCCCGGCGCCGATTTATACTGGAGTCGCACCGGTAGTGACGTCATGGCTGTCGCCGGCCAACGAGTTGGTGTTTTTTCAATGTATGCTTCAGACACGGGTCACGACGAGGCGTTCCCCATAGCGACCCCTAGAGGACGCAGTTCGAAGTTCCCATGAAAGGGAACAATTTTTTTTGAAGCCTAAACAGTATTGGCAGAAATTAAAAAAAATTAAAAAAAAATATTTTGGAGCTTAAACACTATTGGCAGATGTAAAAAACTATTTTGAAGCCTAAACACAATTAAAGTAAAAAAATTAACTGTAGCCTATAAAGGGTTATGACTTCAACATCGCACCATTAAGCTTCAACAATTCTTTCAGGCTTTACTTTAATGGGTTAATTCACCCAAAAAATTAAATTCTGTCGTGATTCGTTTTTTTTATTTCTTTATGAACTTTTTGAAGAGATAGTGGTAGTTGTGTGAACTGTCAATGGGGGCACAGAAATCAATCAGAATTCATTAAAAATATCTTCATTTGTGTTTCGAAGATGAACCAATGTCTTTTGGGTTTGGAAAGACACAAAGGTGAGTAAATGATAAAAGAATTGTTATTTTAGGGTGAACTAACCCTTTAAAAAATTCCCTGAAAGTTTGAGTTAGAATAGTTTGCAAGAACTTGATTATAAACTCTGAAAGTGAGTAATAAGTAGATGAGTTTATCTCTTTTATGTTTGACTTGATAAACTCATCACTTGTTGGCAAATACCTTTTTCAAATGTGAATTGTTTTAAAAATCATATACAGCATACATGATACAGCATAATCAGTACAATGAAAGGGATTAGTACTACTCGTGTATTTTAATGAATGAAGTCATGCTAATATGAGCATGAACAAAGCATGACTGTTTAGATTTTTGGCAAACTATGTCTTTACTGGACATATTTTTAAGTATATTACATTCACTGTTGAAAAGTGCTCTTCAACAATTAATTACCTGCCAAATACCCATAAACGCCAACTTCACTAAGACTAAGAATCTTCTGATATCCAGGAAGATGAACAATCATATAACGTCCCTCCATCCCACCGCATGAGAAAGTGGCCGTGGCACCGTCTGCAAGAGTAGAAATTACAGCACATCTACAGACAGAAAGATCATCTGTTATATGTTTCTGTTCATCTGCAGTCATATTAACCAAGACAGTCAAAGAAATATCCTCACATTCTGTTGCTGTTAATGTCAGGGAAGTTCCCGATACGAATCTCCGCCCCGTAAATCCTATAACCCAAGTACACTCTATTAGTGATGGTGACTCTGTTCACTCTGTACACCTTCAGTAGATCCATTCTCCACCACGGGTTGGTCTCAATGGTAGTGTGGGTATAGGTGTTTGACAATCCATCAAGAGCCAATTCAGGTCCAGAGCCAGATGTTGAAGACTGACTAGATTTACCCCATAGTGCTGCGTTCTCTGAAAATTGTTTCAGAGATGAAGGCCAGTAAGAATCACCATCTTTTTATTGTCATTTAGTGTTAGATTTTGCACAGGACTTTTACCAAATTCCTCTTCATTACTCATCATCAGCAACATGCCTACCACAGGGGCATACAATTAAGGGTCGCAAACAAATGTCAGATATTTGCAATGAAGGGGCACTAGAATGATCCTACAGTGAGCATCATTTATTGTATCAGATATCCAACATTTGTTATACTTATCTATATTGTGATTGGTTTGCTATGTTATCTTCATTACTCATCATCAGCAACATGCCTACCACAGGGGCATACAATTAAGGGTCGCAAACAAATGTCAGATATTTGCAATGAAGGGGCACTAGAATGATCCTACAGTGAGCATCATTTATTGTATCAGATATCCAACATTTGTTATACTTATCTATATTGTGATTGGTTTGCTATGTTAAATTAAACAGACATCATTATAATCTGATATAAGGACTGGACAAGAATTTAAAGTTGCAATGAACTGGAAGTAACATCTCTTTTCTATTGTGATGGACATTTGAGTGAAACAGACTATTGAAAAAAAAATGAATGTAGGGTACAATGCATCAGATGTTGATTTGATGTTTACATGTAATTAAAATGTTAGTGCTCTAAATAATTGGAGAATCATATACACAGTACATCACCAGAGAGAAGAAGTCTGTTGTTTCACCAGAAGAACCAATTATGACATTTTGATCAAACATGACAAGGTCAAAAAAAGGAAGAAAGAAAGAAAGAATGAATAAGTGGATGCACAATGCGATTTATGAGGTTTGAATGAACGCACAAATGAATGAATGAATGGAATGGTTCTGAAAGATCAGTTTTTCAGGCGCAAAATTGCCTCTGTATGAATGAATGAATGAATGAATGAATGAATAAAGAAATATAAAGAAAAAAAACATTTTGTGACTCAGGTCTCAGGGACTGTAAAAAAAGGACATCAAACTGCAACAGAGCTTTACAGAAGGACTAAAACTCCAAGTACTTTTATATGTGCCAGTTCAAGCAGACACAACAGAACAAATGTGTCAGGAAACTGAAGGATTCTTACCTTCTTGTTCATTCGCCATTACTTCAATCCTTAAAAACCCTGTGGAAACAAGCGATTCACTACATCAGTAAACATTGATTTGTGTCAGAGGAAACATCTGACACATTAAACATCTGCAGTGGGCGGACTGTTTGAAGTTAAACTCAAACTAAAATGGGATTTACTTCAGAAACCTGTTCTCATTGCACACAAAATAACCCAGGCACATATGGTCACGCCATTTGCCAATCGCACCCTAATTGAAAAATTCTGGAAACACATACAGTCAATTACTCCTTGTGGTGCTATTGCCAAGAAAACTGTCCCCATGATCTGGAAATCAAGGAAAACCATACATATTGTGTCTTGGAAAAACCCACTAATAGGTTACATGGAAAACCTGTCCATTTCTGTCCAAAACGGTATGCTAGACTTGCACACGTCTTGGTCATTCCTCATCACTTTCCAGCAGCCATGAATCTACTAACCTTTTTTTTGTTTTGAAACCAACCACGACTCCTCCAACTCCTCCTCCACACCTCCAATCCACATATGATGGGGTGGAGGTGGGGAGGAAGGGAGATTGGGAAGAGGTGACAACACACTGGTTCTTAAGACATGGGACAAAACATGTGCAGCAATTGTAACGGCTAATTAGGTGTAAAAATGAAAGTCTTTTCAATTGTAAATGCTATAGGGGATTAATAATAGAATTTATTTAACACAATTATCCCCTTCAGTTTAATTTGATCATTATTATATCAAATCTATGACATCACTGTAAAAAAAAAAGTGTAATTTTAACTGTAAAATTTTGTAAAAACCCTACAGAGAAAATTGTAACGGCTAATTAGGTGTAAAAATGAAAGTCTTTTCAATTGTAAATGCTATAGGGGATTAATAATAGAATTTATTTAACACAATTATCCCCTTCAGTTTAATTTGATCATTATTATATCAATTCTATGACATCACTGTAAAAAAAATAAGTGTAATTTTAACTGTAAAATTTTGTAAAAACCCTACGGAGAAAAAAAAAACTGTTAATAGGTTAACAGTAAGTTCCCGTACTATATACAGGGAAAAACTGTAAAATATCTAACCAGACATTTCATGTAATTTTACAGTAAAATGCTGTTAATTTGACAGTTTTTAGAAGTAAATGTGTTTACAGTTTTTCTGTATTTTTTACAAAATTATTCTGACAACCACAGCTGCCAAAATTATTTTGTAAAAACTACAGAATTTTGTTTACAGTATAATGTCCTCTCACTACATCTAAAACAGTGTGTCCACAGAGAAGGGTCCAATCATTCATATGCTATAAAATCGATAAAAATGTTTTATAATGATGAAAAGAGCTTGTTTTTATCAAAAGCAACACTTAGTAATATCTCATACCAAAGCAAAGTTGTTTTTCAGTGACACATGCGTGTTTCATAAGGTTTCAAAGCTGTGTCCCCACTTTTTGTCAACACCGTCAGACATTCATTAAAATGTAATAAAATCAGGGAATATCAGGGGCAGCTATCACTCTAAAGGACCCCCTTAACACATTCCACCTCTGCAGAGTACATCAGTGTCACACAGGCTCTGGTCAGTTTTATAGTTTTAGAATATTTTTACCGTGTTACCATAGCAGATGCATAGCAGACATATCATGTTCCGAAGATATATCAAAATATGTCAATGTGAATCGTGAATAAAAGCTTTATAAACTATAAAATACTCATTGTTTGTTGTGTTTGTTTTAATACAGTAGTTGATTGAGTCAATGTATTTAATAGTTAAAATGACTACAACTTTAGTTTTTCGTCACTACCGTCAGATATTTTGATAATATTTCATTACAATATTTTATATTTGTTGAGGAATTGTTGGTCACATGTGAAAGTATAATCTGTCTGCTAATATGATAATGTGTTTTGAAATGTTAAAAACATCTTGTTTGTTGTTAAATATAAAGTTACAATTATATTACACAGTCCAAAAGCTGGAGGTTGCATCAAAGCATAGCTCAGTAGCTACATATTTGTTTTCAATTTTGCACCCTGTTTTGTCCCACTTTTCAAGAATCAGTTAACACTGATTTATATTAAATCTAATTACACTTATTTAAAGATGAATGGATTGGATTTACTGGGACCCCAGTAGGTCCTTGCATCTCAGACTCTGTCTGGATTTGTTGTGGGTGGGACTTACATGGGGCCTGGGACTCTTGCCTTGCTGCCATCTTCCTGCATTCCCTCATGCTAGGTTACATGCCTCTCTTTTTTAATGAATCACATATTAGCTGAGATACACACATATTTATTAAGAGCTTAACAATGAATAAAATGTGGTGGTGGCCTGGCCTTCGCCATGGGGTGTTCATACATTGCATGCCTTAAATTTTTTTGTTTTTTTATGCATCACACACTAGCTGAGACACATGCACATTTATTAAGAAAAACACAAGGGTAAGCTACCATATGTGTGGTATGGTATCCATCCAGTTAGGATCATCAACCATAACTCCTTCAAGGACAGCCAGGAACCTTGGAGTTATAATTGATGATCAGCTGACTTTCTCAGACCACATTGCTAAAACTGCCCGGTCCTGCAGAATTGCTTTATTCAACATTAGGAAAATAAGGCCCTTTCTTTGCTTCACAACTCCTTGTTCAAGCTCTTGTTCTGTCAAAGCTGTCCAGAACGCAGCAGCAAGATTAGTCATGTACAAGCTGAAAAGAGCACGTCACACCTCTGTTCATCAGTTTGCACTGGCTACCAGTAGCTGCTCGCATAAAATTCAAGGCATTAATATTTGCCTACAAAACCACCACAGGCTCTGCACCCCTTTACCTAAATTCATTACTTCAGAGTTATGTGCCCTCTAGAAGCTTGCGTTCTGCAAAGGTAAGGCTCATTATTGTGCCATCCCAAAGAAGCACAAAATCACTGTCACAGACTTTTACATTAAATGTTCCCTCCTGGGGGAATGGCCTGCCCAACTTAATCCGAGAGTCCGTATCCATGTTCAAGAAACAACTAAAAACACATCTCTTTCATCTGCAATTGACCCTCTAACACTTGCGTTCCCTATTCTGTTTCTATTCTATATACTTGTTTTCTTTTTTATGTAAAAAAAATAAAAGATAACCCTATAACACTTGCATTATCTAGTCTTTTTCAATTCCATCTACTTGTTTTCTTTTTTAATTATCACAAAAAAATAATAAGAACTTCACTCTCTAACTGTCACGAGTTGCTACGGTGTGGGAACCCGGAGTGAGGAGACCAGGAGTACAAAACCAAGGAACTTATTTCTATCGCAGGGAATCACACATAGCACAAGGAGTAGACATCAACAATACCGGACCCCGAACTGAATACAGGGAACAATATTTATGCTCATGACAAGATGAGGGGATGACGAGACACACCTGGGATCAATAGAAATAAACGGGGAACACCTGGAATCAAATTAACACAACGGGGACATGAACAGGAAGGACCAAATGTGGGCATGGAAACACATGGGGAGCAAAACGCACACAAAAAGAAGGAACAGAGTCTGACACTAATGCTGCGTTCAAGTCCTCATGGGACGTCCGTACTTAAGAGTTGACAAGTCGTAATATCGCAGGGAATCACACATAGCACAAGGAGTAGACATCAACAATACCGGACCCCGAACTGAATACAGGGAACAATATTTATGCTCATGACAAGATGAGGGGATGACGAGACACACCTGGGATCAATAGAAATAAACGGGGAACACCTGGAATCAAATTAACACAACGGGGACATGAACAGGAAGGACCAAATGTGGGCATGGAAACACATGGGGAGCAAAACGCACACAAAAAGAAGGAACAGAGTCTGACACTAATGCTGCGTTCAAGTCCTCATGGGACGTCCGTACTTAAGAGTTGACAAGTCGTAATTACGACGTCAGGTGCGTTCAAGTCAGTTTAGTCGGCACAAGATGCGGTGTTCCTTCTTTTGCTAGCTGCGTAACAAGAACATGACCAATTTAAGTTTATAGGACAACTAAACTATCAATTTAAACAAAAATGTACCGTCAACTACAGACGTTGCATCCATCGATTCCGCCATGTTTCGCATTGACACGGCCCCAACTCGGAAACTCGGGGCGACTTTGTGGTGGCGTTCATGTGCGTTAAACTCGTAAATACGATCTATCCGACATGATTTGAATGCACCATAACACTAGCTCTATCTCTGTTCTACTTTTTTTTTTAATGTATTATATAACTTGCTACATGTACTGCATTAGACTAACCAGAACTTGTCACAACACTTAAGTTACTATGCATTCTTGTTCTTTTGATGTTTTGATTGCTTCAATTGCCCTCATTTGTAAGTTGCTTTGGATAAAAGCATCTGCTAAATGATTCAATGTAAATGTAATGTAAATATGTACGTGATGTCCT